ATCTTGTGAATCTTAAGTAGAGCTCTTCAATTATTAGAGGCTCAACTTTTTCTCACTTTCCTGGTCAGAGTGTTACGGTAAGGAAAACAGCTTTAAGAGATACGAATCTAGTTCAGTAGTTAGAAAGTTGTGAAGAAGATGTTGAATGCTGACTTTAAAAATAGCATTGATTTTTACACTAAGCATAACACGGGCTTGTTTTTAGAAAATTTAGGAAAATATAGTGTGTGTGTGTCCCACAATAGTGACTTTTGTTTGTAATCTTTAGCGGTCACAGCAACACTGGGATGTGGCTCCTGCTAGCTCTTCCTCCTGTTCTACAGATGAAGACACTAAGGCCGAAGAGGTGTTACTCTGTTGCTGCTGCTTCTAATTTCCCCCTGCCTGTGCATATCAATTTCTTAAATCAAACCTGGATTATCAGTTTTGTGATTGACTTTCTCACTTAGCAAGACACTGTGACATGTCCCTTTATTATTCAGGTATCTTTGGAAACAGTTCACTGTGTATTAGTTTGTCTTGTGAGATCGATTTAGCCTGAAATTTCTCAGCTTTGGCCCTGTTGGCATTTGGGGCCAGATGATCTTTCCTCTGGAAGTGTTTTGTGCATTGTAGGTTCTTTAGCATCATTCTGGACTCTACCGGCTTGGTGCAGATAGTACCTCCCCCCACCCCATCCAACTGTGACTGCAGAAACGACTCCACATATTGCCAAACATAATCTCCAATTGCAAACCATTTATTTAACCATATGTATTTCATGCTTTAAAAAATGATTTATGCATATGACTAGAATTTAATTTTCTATTTGATGCCATCCAGATTACACTAACTCCTAATTTTAGTTATGTTTTTATTAATGTATTTTTTTCATAATAGCAATATTGCTTGAAAGTTGAAAATTCAACAACATTGTTTGCATAGATATAAGAATGTAATTGCTTATCTGTCAGAGGCGTGTGATGAAAAGCATCCCGGGCGTTTTGACCACTGTTGTTTTATTGTAGATGAATTCCATTATCTCCATGTCACTTTCTTAAAAAGTTTGGTCATTGAGGCAGCTATAATACCTTGTGTTATTAATGGAAACCAAAAGTTACTCTTTCTGCCTGTTTATGTAGTTTTCTTGATATGTTTTGACACTTGAAAGCCTTTTTTCCTACCACACAGTCATCTTTTTGTATAAATACAATGATCATTCTGTAATAGAGCTGTAGCATACAATAACTAGTGGTAGCAGTTGCCCTTTTAATGAAGTAGTATTCATTGTTTTCATTGTTTTGTGTGTGATTGGGGCTAGTTTGGCAATGCAAACTAATTAATGTCATTAGTCATGGATTGATTTTGGTCTTCAGAGGTTTTTAATACCCCCCCCCCCCAATCATGTATCTCTCCTACCCTCTCTGGAAAAAATTAAAGAGCCATGGGATGCTTTTGGATATGTCCTATATTTTGCTTGTACATTTAGTGATACCATTATAGTTTCAAATAAAGATGTGTGGTAACATACAGCTCTTATCTATGTATGTTGCCTTTTTGATGGTACCATGTGATAATGACTTGCTCTTTACCTTAAAATATTATGTTTTTGATACTTAAGACATGTTTTGATTGATTTATAGTATTTCAGTTCTTTTAAATTTTTATTTGTGTGTGGAGCCTTTTTTTCCCTGTTCTTCCTGTATCAATAGTAATAGAAAAGAAATATTTTAATACATTGCAGGGCTTCTATAAAAGAGGTAATTTTTAAATGTATATTTTCTGAACTTCAAATGTTATAATGTTGGACTTTAATAGCTATTTTTATATATTAAACTTGAAATGTTGACTGTCAATTTTGCCATTTCCATTCTCCTAAAGGTAATTGAGAGTTCTAGACAGAGTGTTCTAGAAGAAGAAAGCTTTATTTCATACCTTCATACCCACTGTTGATTATTGATTTGCTTTTATTAACACCTGGTCTTTACTCTGCAAGTTCAAACTGTATAAAAGCTTCTTCTTTTTCTTTCTTTTTTTTTTAAACTGTGAAGATTTCTTTTGAGGATGTTAGTGTTTCCCTATTGTATCTGGCTTGAAAACATTGGATATTTATTAAAAGGCTTTGCCCCTAGTCAGATGTAGTTGATGACATGAAACCGAGTAAAGCATTCATCGTATTAAAATTCCTGGCAGTTCAGCTGAGGTCGTTCTCAAAGCTGAAGCTGGCCAGGATAAAGCCCATCTCCACAGAGTGAGGTGCAGAATGGTCTAAGGGTGCTCAACTGGTGGTATTTTCCACTCTCTTAATTTGGATTTTATAAAATATTTTCCCTCTCCTCTGTGGTTTTCTAGTATCATTTTATTTTGTGGAAACAAAATGGAACTGGGTTTTAATAAATAGTATCCAAAAATAAAATTTTAACTTTCATATAAATACTAAAAATAAAAAATGTAGTGATCTTTTTATTAACCCCTAGAATTCATGTGACACATTATTTTTCCTTTTAAATTTTATGTATTTATTTGAGAGGCAGAGAGACAGGGAGAGAGCACTCCCATCTGCTGGTCCATTCCTTAGATGCCCAGATGGCCTGGGCCTGGCCAGGCCATAGTCAGAGATAGGAAGACAGCCCACGTCATCCGTATCAGTGGTACATAGCCTGCTACCTGAGTTATCACTTGTTGCCGCCTGCGTAGGAGGTAGAATCCGAAGCAGGAGCCGGGAATTTAACCCTAAGATTTTCATATGGGATGCAGTTATCTTAGCCAGAATCCTAACCACTAGGCCAAATGACCACCTAACACATTTAAGAAACATTTTACTTGGAGATAATTGTAGGTTCATGTGTGGTAGTAAGAAATAATACAGATGGGAAATACAGGAAAAATACAGGAATAAATGATTCAACGGTGTTTCAGTCAAAAGTATTTGCTGTAATTTGTTGTCCCCTTAAAATAATTTTTTTCCCCTTTTAACAAAACTCTGGGAAAATGAGCATGATAGGATCTTTATTTTCAGATAGTGTTCTAGAGTTCTGTAGGGTGGTTTAAAGGACTAGTTTTAATTAAAAGTACTATACAGTTAGTAAAAATCCATGTTAGTTGAAGAATTGATTCTTTTTAAAGGAAAGCTGCAAATTTTTCGTGTATGGGTAAATGTCACTGTTCATATCTTCGCTTAGCTGCAAGTCAGGACTTGTACTATTCCACTAGGTTGTCATAGAAACGCAGTTAACTGTCATCTCACCTCACACTGTTGATGGTTTTATTTGTAGGTTTGTAGGATTATTAAAATTTAACAAAAATTATTGATTTGCCTTTTATTAACGCTGGATTGTTTACCATGGAAGTTCCAGCACTTGGAAGCCTTTTTTTCTGTTTAAATTTTTAAAAAAAGTGCAGCTCTATATTAAATCTCCTTGATTTTTAAAAATGTTTTTATTTAAAATGTATTATGGAGTCTGCCACAGCAGTATAATCTCTGTGAATTGTAGTTTTGAATCACGTTCTGTTTTCTTTGTTTATGACAGAAGGAAAAAAAAAACTTAAAAATTCACCTTTAGTCTGCCTTTAACTTAACATAAAGGATACCTGTCAGAAAAACATGAAATGGTACATCAAGTGCCTAATATTGGAGTTTTCATTTTATTTATGGTTTTTGAAACCTAGCACGAATGCTTCAGTGAACTGTGTTGTGAAAGTATTTATTTTTGTATATTTATGTAAGAGAAATTATTTGGTTTTCACTTAAATAAGACTGGCAAACCTTATTTACAGTAACTTTATCTAATGGTCCGTGGATGAGTGCTTTTATGCAAAACAGTCGAGAGGCTAGAATTAACTTTTCACATTGGATGCACATTTGATGTCCAGACTTGAGCAACATGTGGCATCTTATTATAAAGACCAACACTCAGGATTCAATTTGTATTTAACACATTTACTTAAAAATGCACACATCATCTGTGCTACACTTAAATGTTAATTTTGTAATCATTTCTGTTTCTTGCTTATAGATACATAAGAAGGAGCATTTATTTATTGCTTTCTGTAGTTTTCCTCTTTCAAGTTTATTTAGACTTGGTTAATTAGCTCTTTCATATTTTATATTGAAAATAGGTCAGTTTGGAGTGTAACAGCTCCTTGGGTTGAGCTGATTATCATTAGATACCTTTTTATAGAAATGTGTAGGTCTTTAGGATTACTCTGCTTCTTGTACTACCTTTTATTGCTTTTTAAAAAGTTATTCTTGGAAAGTTAATAGTAGGTACACCACCTTTGATATTAATAGTCTCTTTCTAAAAGAACTGTTAATTATGGTAGAGGGATTAAATTTAAGCTGCTTATCAGTTGATATGGAATACTTATCTTTTAAAACTGAGTTTGTTGCTCTTAAAGACTGATTACTGTCCTTGCAGCTAGCAGACATGGTGGCCTCCAATGATCGTTACCTCCTGTCACCCATTCCCTATGTCTTCCTTTCCCACACCAAGTCATGGCTGACCTGTCTAATCAGCAGACTATTGTAGAAAAGCCAATATACAGCCTTAGAGACTAGGTCAGATAAAACGTGGGCCTTCTCCCTTCCGATGTCATGGATCACTCAGTCTGAAAGAAGCCATCTGCCATATTTGGAAGGACAGTCAAGCAGTCCATGAGCGAGCAACTGCAGCCTCCTGCCAACAGCCAATAGCCAGCTCCAACTTGCCGGTCACTCGAGTGAGCCATCTTGGAAGCCGCTGCTTTAACTGCAGTGAAGGCTTTCAGAGGTTGCAGAACCAGTTGACATCTTGCCTGTATCCCTTGAGAGGTCCTGAGTGAACCACCCAGCAAACCATTGCTTAGCCACAGAAACTGTATGAAGTAACACAGATATATTGCTGCAAATGTATTACAGTAAATTTTAGCATAATTAATTATGCAGCAAAAGATAACTAACACACCTAAGTAAACACATTTCAAAACATTTTCCATTTATCACATAGTTTATAGTTACTTGTAGGCATAGAAATTGCAGAGGCCTCTGTGGTTAGTAGAGTTCAGTGACTAGTGTGATCCTGGATATATTCCATTGTCTCCATTTATCCACAGATTAGCCTCTTTGCATGTGAAGATGTAGGTCTTTGTCCCAGAGGTAATGACTTTTGTGGGCATTTGACCTGGTAGTCTCTGCCTAGTCTATCCTGGCTCCCTCATAATCTCTAGGAGGCAAGCAATTACTGTTCTGCAAGAGACAGTTTTCTTCCACCTAACTTACTTTTTACTGTGAGTTTCCTTAGTGTGATTATCTTCATATTTAATCCTGCTGTGATTGCAGGGCTTCTTGAATCTGTGAGTTGATGTTTGTATCTGTTCTGTGAAATTCCCAGTTTTTATCTCTCTGGATGTTGTTCCTCTTCCTTTCCATCTTTTCTTATCCCAAAGTTCATGTGAAATCGCAAAAGGATCTGAATAGCTGAAGTGATCCTGAGTAAAAAAGCAAGCAAGCAAGCAAACAAGCAAGCTGGAGGCATCACAATACTTAACTTAAAAGCATACTACAAAACTATAGTAATTAAAATAGCATGGCATGGGCATAACAAACGGATAGGTACATCAGTGGAACAGAATAGAGAGCCCAGAAATTAATCCAAGTACATATAGCCAACTGATTTTTGACAAAAGTTCCCAGATAATAATTGGAGAAAGTATAATCTCTTCAATAAATGGTGCTGACATGTATATATGTACAAGAATGAAGTTAATTCCCTACCTCTCACCATATAAAAAAGCCAACTCAGATCAAAGACCTAAATTTAAGACTTGAGAATATGAAGTTGCTGGAAGAAATTGTAGGGGAATAGGGCCAGTGCTGTGGTATAGCGGATAAAGCTGCCACGTATGGTGCTGGCATCCCATATGGGCACTGGTTCAGTTGCTGGTTGCTCCACTTCCAATCCAACTCCCTGCTGAAGCACCTGGGAAAGTAGTGGAAGATGGCCTAAGTGCTTGGGGCTCTGTACCATGTGGGAGACCAGGGAAAAGCTTCTGGCTCCTACCTGAGGACCAGCCCAGCTCCAACTGTTGCAGCCATTTGGGGGGGCGGGGGGTGAACCAGGAAATGGAAGATCTCTCTGTCTCTCTCTGTCTCTTCCTCTCTCTCATGTAACTATGCCTTTCAAATAAATAAATATTTAAAAAAATTATAGGGGAAACACTTCAAGACATTTGTGTAGGTGGTAGCTGCTTGGGTAAGATATCCAAAGCACAGGCAGTAAAAGCAAAAGAAATAGGATTATATCAGATTCAGAAGCTTCTGCACATCAAAGGGAACACTCAATATTGTGATGAAGTGGCTGACAAAATGGGAAAAATATTTGCAAGCTACTTAATCCACAAAGGATTAATATTCAGACTATATCAGGAACTCAAAAAAATCAACAATAAAAAAAAATCCAGTGAAGAAATGGACAAAGGATCTCAATAGACTGTTCTCCAGATAAGAACAAATGGTCAATAAATATATGAAAAAGTGCTCAACATCAGGGAAATGCAAATCCAAACTACAATGAGCAATCACCTTACTCCATCACAATGGCTGTTATCCAAAAGACAAAGAATAACAATTGATGGAGGGGATACACAAAAAGGGAAACTCTTACACACTGTTGGAGGGAATGTATGTTAGTGCAGCCACTGTGGAAAATAGTATGGGGATTTCTTAAAAAAAAAATAAAAAAAGACTAAAATTAGACTTGTCATATGATCCAGCGGTCCTGCTACTCGGTATCTACCTCAAAGACATGAACACATTACATGAAAGAGATACCTGCATCATCATGTTCAGAACAGCACTGTTTAGCCAAAACATGGAAATCAATAAAGGTGTCTGTCATCAGATGAATGCCTGATGTGGTACACACACACACACACACATACACACACAAGAATATTATTCGGCTATAAGAAAGAATGAAATCCTATCATTTGCAGTAAAATGGTTGGCATTGGAGGACATCTTGTTGAGTGAAATAAGCCAGACACATAAATAAGACATGTTCTCCCATGTATGTGGGAACTAAAATTAAACAAAAATCAAAAGCTCAATTTGAATACAGAATGTTGATTACTAGAGGCTAGGGGTAGGTGGAAGGGATAAAAAGAATTTGGATTTTTTTTTTTAAGATTTATTTTATTTATTTGAAAGAATTACAGAGAGACAGAGAGGTCTTGCATCTGCCAGTTCACTCCCCAGATGGCCTCAATGGTCAGAGCTGCGCCGATTCGAAGCCAGGAGCTTCTTCCAGGTCTCCCACATGGGTACAGGCCCCAAGGACTTGGGCCATCTCCTACTGCTATCCCAGGCTATAACAAAGAGCTGGGTTGGAAGAGGAGTGGCTGAGGTTAGAACCCGTGCCCATATGGGATGCTGGCGCTTCAGGCCAGGGCTTTAACCTGCTGCACCACAACACCGGGCCCCCAAGAGTTTGGATTTAAAAACATAGGGGATGCTGGATGTGGTTCATTCATTGTGACAAATATGCTAATATGAGATGTTACTAAAGGAAATGGAGTGAAGAGTACATGGGAACTCATTGTTTTACTACCTTGCAATTTTTATTTATAAATTTAAACTTAATAAAAAAGAAAAACTAACATTAGGTTAGACTTTTTTCAGTTTGTTTCACATGTGTTGTACATTGCTTTCTGTATTTGTATTTTTCTTCTCTGGACTTACCTTTAGATTTTTTTTTTTTAATCTGTTTTGGTAAAATTTCACTAATCTTGTATTTTGCTTTACTACTCTTCAATTAAATTATGTATTGACTTCTTAATTTCAAATAGATTTTTGAGTCCTAAAGTGTTCATTTGATTCTTTTTTTACAGATTACAATTCTTTCTTGAGAATTTCCTTTTTCATTCATTTTCAACATAGTTATTTTAAAGTCATTTTCTGGTAACTTCAAAATCTGGGTTATCCAATTTTTTAATGATCTTTTCCCTTGATTTTTCATCATCTGGTGCTGTCTTGTGGCATACCTGGTGATTTTTTTATTGAATCCTCAGTGACATAAGTAGAGAAAATTGTAGCAGTCCCAATAGTTTTGTTTTTCACAAACTTTATTCTTTATCAGAGAGGATTAAGAATGTCTTATGATGCTGAGCTACACTGTTAGTTTGAGCATAATAAAGTTAGTGATGATACAACAAAGTAGAGTACTCCTGTTTTCAACTTCTCAACCTGTTCTGGTGGAGGTATAGCCTTTTGTACTCCCAGTTGGCAAAATGAAATGTGAAGATCTGTTGTACTGGAAACAAGTCAGAGAAACGCCACACAATGAGAATTTGGAATGAGTCCTTTATTTTAGCCAGCGGGCTCATGCCCTAAAGACCTCTTGACCCCAAAGCTCAAAGCAACAGACTTTATAAAGGTAAAAACCACAGGGAGGGTAGGTGCAATACATGGTTACTAATGCTAAGCTGACCTAAAGCATATAGGAAACTAATATCAGTTATAATCTTGACAATACCAGTTAGTCCAGGTGCTGACCTATCTGTTTTAAGCTTGAGCGATCATGCTAGGGGATTTTTGGGTTCTGTCAAGCAGAATGTGTATGGTTATTGTCTTAGTTTTGATTATGGTCTCATGGTGGGGGTGCTTTTTCAAGATGGAGTCTTGGTGCTCTAAAATGGCGTTCCTACTGTCAGGGTGTCACTTCAGATCTAAACCTTTAGCTATTGGGCAGGTGCTTCAGGTGCTGTGGTTAAAGCCCCGGCCTGCAGTGCCAATATCCCATATGAGCTCTGGTTTGAGTCCCAGCCGTTCCTCTTCTAATCCAGTTCCCTGCTGATGTGCCTGGGAAAGCTGTAGAAGATGGCCTAAGTCCTTGGTCCCCTGCACCTGCATGGGAGACCTGGAAGAAGCTCCTGGCTCCTGACTTCGGATCAGCTCAGCTCTGCTGTTGCAACCATTTGGGGAGTGAACCAACAGATGGAAGATCCCTCTCTCTCTGTCTCCACCTCTCTCTGTAACTCTTTCAAATAAATAAAATAATTTTTTTATAAAAACAACCTTTATCTATGGTTATAGTTATTGACAATCCTTGAATAAATTGTCTATGGTTCCCTCTTAAGAGGTGTGTTTTGTGTTTTCCAGAACGAATCTGTGATGGCTGTCATTTTTCTCTGCTTTCATGCAGGAAGAAGAGAGTGAAGAGGAGCCCAAACTGAAGTATGAAAGGCTTTCCAATGGAGTCACTGAAATTCTTCAGAAGGGTGCAGCGAGTTGCATGACAGTCCATGACAAGGTGAGGGGTTACACAATTTCTGATGTACCTCTGTTTAAACGACAGAGTTCTGCTCCTCTCAGCAGTGGCTTTGTTTTTGTTTTTGTTTTTGTTTTTTAATAGAGATTGTGTCTCCCTGCCATTCTTCCTCACCAGAAAAACAAACAAAAGAAACTGATGACCCAAAATATTTTATGTGTATAGTCACACACTCTCCCACGCACACATGCAACACCCACCAAGGGTATATCAAGTAGAGCTTGCCCAATGGTCAAAGTGAAAGTTGTCTGTGAAGCAATTTTGGAAACCTTATCACTTAGTTCCTCAGGCCATAATGATGAGATTAGAAACCTGTTCGATTAGAACAGTGTGGAGCTCAGTGCTTTTCTAAGGATAGAAGAAAGGACGTTGGAAATGTTAGGAATAGATAGAAGTACCCCAAATGATTATGTATACATTGTATGGATGATTGACTATATTCAACATTGGGTCATTGTTATGACAAAGCCCTCACCAACTTTCTGAGTCCAGACTAAGTACTGGATAACACCCTTAACCTTTTCTTGGACCACAAGAGCAGGTGTTCTCTCTGGAATACTGGACTAGGGGGAATTTGAACCATTGCTCTCTTTTTCCTTAGGAGACTATGATCCTGTCACAAAAGGCGAACTCCCCACCTCTCATCCATCCCTTGCCTCCCACCTGTACACCTTTTTATTTCACATTTCATTCTATTGTAAACATGTTTCTGTACTCACTCAGCACTAATGGAATGCATGCTCTCCCATTTTTACCAGAAAGCCTCCTGTTTAGATTTTCTTCCATTTGGCTGCAACACCATTGACCTATTCCCCTTGCTGTCATCGCCCAACTGTCTGTCATTTCCTGCACTTACTGAAGACTGGGCTTGCAGATCTTCAACCTAATTCAATTCCAAGGGCTTCCACCCTTTCCCTGTCTCATCTCATCGTTGTACTCAGGCTACACTGTGGGTGGTGTCAGCACCTGGGACTTGAAGATCTTTAGCCACCACCACTTTGTTGACCCCTTTTTTTTCTGTACATAGACCTTATTCTCTGGCTTGATGGAGTCCCAGATTGTAATCTGTTCTTTCTTTCTCTTTTACTTTTTGTGTCTATGAAATGGGTAATTACCCTAACTCTCCTGGTGTCTTCAGCTATCTTCTGTTCCTGTCTTTGCATTGTGCTCCTCAGCCATACTCTCCACCCTGATTCAGCACTCTAATGACCCAGGCAGCCACCTTTTAGTACACACTCATGTGCCTCGGTAAATATGCCATGAACAATTGCTATTATTTGTCCTTCATCATTTCTTAGTCCTCAGTCTCCCTTCCTAACTCGTGTCCCCTCACTCTCAGAGGATGATGTTATATCTGTTCAAGAAAATTTAAACCAAGGAGGCGGGCGCTGTGGCACAGTAGGTTAATCCTCTGCCTGCAGCACCGGCATCCCATATGGGTGCCGATTCTAGGCCTAGCTGCTCCTTTTCCCATCCAGCTCTCTGCTATGGCTTGGGAAAGCAGTAGAAGATGGCCCAAGTCCTTGGGATCCTGCACCCACGTGGGAGACATGGAAGAAGCGCCTAGCTTTGGATAGGCCCAGCTCTGGCTGTTGTGGCCATTTGGGGAGTGAACCAGTGGATGGAAGACCTTTCTGTTGGTCTCTGCCTCTCACTGTAACTCTACCTCTCAAATAAATAAATAATATTTTTTTAAAAGAAAATTGAAACCATGAGGCATGATCAGACTCAGTTCCTGACTTCTTTCCCAGTTTGTGTGAGTCCATACCCATCCTTACCCACAGGGCATTTCCTTCCACCAGTTCAGGACTTTGGTTGTCCACTTGTGCTCTTCATCGTGTTTCCTCCCTCTCCCCAAGAGATACCTGTTCAGTCATGGAACACGGGTAACCACTACTCAGCCCTCCAGCCCTGTAGATTTGTCCATTGTGGATGTTTCAGGTAAGTGCAATCATGCATCATTTCATCACTTGTATCTGGACTCTTTGACTTAACATGATGTTCTTGAGCTCCCATGACATGGCAGGATCAGGCCTTCTTTCCGTTCTGCTGCTGAATCATATCTATTGCATGGCCACCCTGCATTTTGTCTACATTCACCAGCTGATAGATCCTTCACTGATTTAAACTGTGGGTTTCACCTTGCTTCTCAAAACTTTCTCATCATGACACCATTCTCTTACTAATTTTGTTACCATTTCTGATATTCCTTTGTTTCTTTCATTTTGCTTTAACTACATGTTTCTGTTTTGTGTTGGTTTTCCCAACATGGTCCATCATCCATGTTTCTTAATTTGTACTGCTTAGCTTTAGATACCATGATTTCTGTAACCGTCTACCCACTAACCCTCACTAGAATGGTATGCTTATTTATGTAGGTACTTCCTAAAAATCTCTATATTTGTTCTATTTTACCTGAACCTCAGCATGTCCATAATGAGTTCATCTTTTTCCTGGAAACTTGCTTCTGTTTTTCATTCTTCTCCCATTTAGTGACATCATCATTTCCTTTATTACCTAAGCCAAAGGCAACTCCTTGTATGTGCTGGTGATTTTCTTACTACACTTGTTCTAGTGTAGGTCTCATCTTCTCTTGCCTATAGTTGTAAATAGAGGAATCTCTTGTGTCCCTTAATATCTCCACTTTAAATCCATCTACCACCTGGTTGCCAGATTGATCAATGAAATGTACAAATTTTATAACCCTTATGTAATTTTCATCAACTTACCAGTAAACTCTCAGATGTCCAATATGGTATGTAAGGCCCTCAGAGGTCTTGCTTCCTATGAATAATTAGCCTTGTTACCACTTTCTGCCAAAAATGGTGCTTTGGCAGAGACACTTGGCTTCTATCTGAATATTAGCCCCATCTCCTCTGCTTGAATCCACTCCCATCCTGAGCCCTTTTCATCTACTAGTTCAGGCATTCATCATTTCTCCTGTAGCTAATGCACACAGTGTGAACTGTTTCCCTTAGTACGTATTTCCCTTCAGATTTGCTTTCATTGGAGCCTGTTCGTGTCACCTCTGCTAAAGTACTCTTGCAGAAATCCCACTCTGATCATAATCCTCCGCTTTAGGTTCCTTAATTGGCTTCCTGATGCCTTAATGATTTGGACCTACCCACTCCTCTTTCCTCTGCTTTTCTACCTTTCATCTCTCCATAAATATTTGAACACCTCTGATTAGCCAACCCTTCCAACCTCATCACCTGTCTCTTCCCCTGGGCATGAATTAGATGCTTCATCCATCTAAAATAAAGCTGCTTTTAATTTCTTGACTTCGTGCCTTTGAGCAAGTTGTATCCATTCTGCCTAAAATGGTCTTTACCACAAGCCTACTCAATCTGCCTGTCTTTTTTTCTTTTTTCCTTTTTGTTTCTCCTTCAAAGTTCATGGTGCTACTTCCTGTGTTACATAGAATCTCAGAGAAACTTCCATTTTAAGCGTGCTCTTTTTGTGCAATTGTGGGTAACTTTTTATAATCTACTTCTGTCATTATACCTCAACCCTTTTGAATCACACTTATCATCTAAGTGTATTGTAGTGCTTTATGTTTATTTGTTGATGAACCAGTAAATTAATGAACTGGAGAAGAGTTTGCTTGCCCAGAGCTCAAACTGTATTAATACCGTGATAAACTCTCTTGGCCAAAGAACCTAATAGTTGAGAATAGTAATCAGTGCCAACTTTTGGCGCTCCTGTTTCTAGTAAAAGGATTCTGACCAGTAGAAAGTATCTTAGTTCTTAATTCTGGTCCTAACTCTTGCAGTCATTGACTGTTTCCAGAGAGGTCTCATCACCTTCTGGAACTTTGTCATGTAAATTGAATGCACTTCCTGCTCTAATGCTTTGGATACTGTAAAGCACTATGTGAAAGGTAGATTCTACAGCACAGCTGACCAAATTTTAAATATCCTCTGTCTTGTTTCTTTTGTGATTTTTAAAAAAAAAGATTTATTTATTTATTTGAAAGGCAAAGTTACAGAGAGGCAGAGGCAGAGAGAGATTTTCCATCTGTTGTTTCACTCCCCAAATGTGTGCAATGGCTGGAGCTGGCCATATCCAGAGCCAGGAACCAGGAGTTTCATTCAGGTCTCCCATGTGGGTGCAGGGGCCCAAGCACTTGGGCCGTCTTCCACTGCTTTCCCAGGCCATAGCAGAATGCTAGATTGGAAATGGAGCAGCTGGGATTTGAACCAGCGCCCATATGGGATGTTGGCACTGCAAGCAGTGGCTTTACCCACAACACCAACCCTTTGATTTTTTTTTTTTTTTTTTTTGAGAGGTAGAGTTACTGAGAGCAGGACAGACAGACAGACAGACATCCGCTGATTCAATCCCAAATGGTTGCAAGGGCCGGAGCTGGGCTGATCTAAGCTAGGAGCCAGGAGCTTCTTCCAGGTCTTCCACATAGGTACAAGGGCCCAAACACTTGGGCCATCCTCTGCTGCTTTCCCAGGCCATTAGCAGAGAGCTGGATCAGAGGCCAAGCAGTCAGGACTCAAACCAGCACCCATATGGGATGCTGGTGCTTCAGGTGGAGGCCTACCTACTATGCCGCAGCGCTCGCCTCTCTTTTTTGATTTTTAAGGACTGATCGCTGCCTCTTCTGTTTGCTTACTTATAGGAAGTCCAGTCTACTCAAAGTAAAGGCAGTTATGCTTAGTAGAGTCAAAGACTGGGATCCCTAATCTGATATCTTTTAAAATGAATTAAGTTTGGGCCGGCGCCGCGGCTCACTAGACTAATCTTCCGCTTGCGGTGCCAGCACCCCAGGTTCTAGTCCTGGTTGGGGCGCCATTTCTGTCCCGGTTGCCCCTCTTCCAGGCCAGCTCTCTGCTGTGGCCCAGGAGTCCAGTGGAGGATGACCCAGCTCCCTGGGCCCTGCACCCGCATGGAGACTAGGAGAAACACCTGGCTCCTGGCTTTGGATCGGCGCAGCGTGCCAGCCGCAACGTGCCGGCCGTGGTGGCCACTTGGGGGGTGAACCAGCGAAAAAAAAAGACCTTTCTCTCTTTCTCTCTCTGACTGTCTAACTCTGCCTGTCCAAAAAAAAAATGAATTAAGTTTGTAATTAAACTTGAAAGGGCTAGCAAAAATGTATTTTTTTCTTTTCTTGTAGATTTCAAGTACTTTCATGCAAAAAAAAATTCAGTGGTTATAAAAACTCAAGACAGTGAATGGAAGGAGAGTAAAATTTGAAGGATTTACATTTATGTTCTGTCACATTTGTGGCTAATTTTACATTTTTTTGTTGTATTGAAATAGTTGAAAGCATTCACAAATGAAAATGTGACTTATCTCTGATTTTCATAGTTAAACACATATGATCAGTTTATTACACTGTTTTTGAAGATTGCATAGTTATTTCTAAACTGTAGTGGCAATAATTTAATCTAAATGATGAAATATTTTCATAAACAAGTTGCCTTGCCATAAAAATAACTGTACATTTTTTCCAAAAAATGTTCTAATGCAATTGTAGTTATAAGTTGAAACTGTAAAATCAAAAAATAATTATTTTACGATTTCTTTCACCTTAAGTATTGAACAAATAATACTAGTTTTTGAAAACAAAGGCAGAGGAGGAATTAATGTTTGGTTGAAGTGTCCTGCCTAGAACCTCTAAAACTTCCATGAGATAGAATATAATTAGAAGTTCAAAAATGGCCCTGACTAGGTGTCAGAGAATGACACAGTATTAAAGCATTTTAAGGATCCTGGCTCCCTTAGTTTCCTAACAAACAAAATACACTATTTATGAGGGGAATCAATACTGTGAGATACTTGGGTTGCAGTGAGCTTTTAAGAGCCATTCCTTCACCACAGATGGCCACAGAATGGAGTATCGTTTGTTTTAGTGAGTATTTTAAGTGGTGTTTTTCTTTTCAAATATTGTCGAAGTGTCACTGTAGAGATAAAATTACAACCACTTGAGCCCTGTATTTCTGTTGGAATGTTCTTTGACTTGGGAGGAAGCATTCCTGTTGGGTTTAAATATTCAGGCTAATTTCCCCCCAGAATTACCTCTTCCCTCTCACCCAGGCAGCACCCAAGCATCCTGTTTGCAGCGGGCTTGCTGTCTGCCCTGGGTGACTAATCGGCATGGCACCTGGTGCATTCAGGCAGGCCTGTGCAGCGGAGTCGTCATACCTAGTTATGTCTGCACACCTGATGTTTTATTAACCAGTATTGATTTTTTTACCCGGGGGACTTTTTTCTTCCTGAAAAAAGGCAACCTTGCAGGAGTGAAAGGCATTGCAGGGGATGAATTTCTAACGAACCCCTTCTTTCCCTCTTTGTGACTCCTCTTTAATGTAGCTTCATATTTTAAGTGCCTGAGCTGAAATTTCATCTTAAGCAATTCCATTTTGATAAATCCTTTTGAATCTTGACTTTCTGTAAGGTTATTTTTTAAAGATTGTGCTGCTTGACTGAAATGCTTAGTAGCGCCTGTAAATTTGAGCATTTCATTACAGGTTGCAATGAAGCATGATCACCTGGAATGAGATGCAGAGCATCCTGGACTGTTTGAGTAATGCTTAAAGAAATAAAAAGGAAGAAGAATCTCATGTGAGATTTAGGTAGTCTTACAGTTTCTTCTGGTTGTTTACAGTTAGTTCAAAGAAGTCAAGAAACAGAGTTATGAACTAGTTCTATGTCATAAAATGAATATGTAGTTCAGTGGTTCTTTGGTGACAGAAAAGGACATTTTTGCCTTTGAATATAAATACTTACATTCAGTATTATACATTAACTGTTATAGATACATCCCAGAGCTAACTGATGGTTATGTTTTTTTTTCATCCCTCAATATGGCATATATTCTCTGTTTTAAAATACAATATTTTGCTTGTGTGCATTGAAGTTAAATATCAGCACAGATTTACACATTTGCCATAAATTAGGAGGAGTTTCTTAATCATTCCCTTCTGACTTTGAGTTCAGCTATAGGGTGGTTGTGCTCTCCCAGCTGCATTTTTAATTTACGGCCTCAGTCCATCAGGCATTGTGTACAGACTGCACACACACCATTAGTTGTCAGTAGATGAGGGACCTCATGAGTCATTTTGACAGCTCGCTTGCACTATCACAATAAAATAGGCCCTGTTCTGGTCTTTCCCTGAAGCTGGCAACAAGGCTTCTCCAAGGAATGCACATCTTCTGAGACACTGCCGATCATTTATGCATTAAGCAACTTGACTTTGAAAATGGCTCTGTTAGTGATGTATTAATAGTACATTAATTAACTGCCCCTCTGTTGTTCTTACAGTTTCTGGCACTGGGCACACATTATGGCAAGGTTTACTTACTTGATGTCCAAGGAAACATCACTCAGAAGTTTGATGTAGTAAGTATATGGTGTAAAATAATGCATGAGCTGAACTCCATGCTAAGAATTCGTACTTTAGAATGTTAGTTTTAGCAATTTGCTTGAATAATGTAAAGAAGGGATCTTTATAAGCTAAATCA